AGGACCATCTGATCGAGCACTTCCGGTCATGGTGAGATGATTGAGGGACGTTGGGTCAAAATTATGGTTTATAACTTGCTTTTCAAGGGTACTATATTTTTCTTGAGTGTAATATGCGTTTGCGGGTGTGTTCACGACCAAGTTGGTGTGTACGGTCGTAAATGGGTTTACGGCCATAAACCTATTTATGGTTGTGAACTCATGTTTGGCCCATGTTCCATATAAATATAGGTGTAAGGGGCGAGGAGAAAAAAGTGAGAGTGGAGAGTACAGACAAGGAGCCTAAGTGTATGTTTTCTAAGGTGTGTTCTAGAGAGAGAAACTAGAGAGAAGAAGAGTGTATGTGTGAATCTCTTGTAAGGATCTTCATTCATATCTTCAATACATCATTGATTCAAGTTATTCTTCTTCCCCTTCTCTTTTATTTTGATCTGGCATCATCCGTTTGATTAGGATTCCGCACCATCAAATGGATCTTATTCATACACACGCGGATTAAGGAATTACAAGTGGTATCAGAGCTTGGTTTGTACCAGTCAATTTTTCTAGATCTGGAGCTTATTTGAACTTATTTTTGAAGGATTTTTGTGTTTTTAGATAGATCTTGGAAAAATAAGGGGGGTTTGTTCTTTGTGTTTTTCATAAAAACGAGTTTTTGATCGAGTTTTGGAGCAAAAATGGTGAAAAATGTCGTTTCTTTGCGATCTGTTAAAGAGATTACGGCTGGAAACAATTTACGGCCCCAAAGTTTACAGCCCAGAAACACCTCAGCATATGCCTAAAAAAGGGAAATGAAGAAGAATCTTCTAGGCTCCAAGGATTCGAACCCGGGACCTGTGAGTCAACAAACACGCAACTTACCAGCTGAGCTACCAAGCTACATTCTTCTTGACTTCAAAATTTAAATCATACAGTTTTCACAGCAGCTTATTTACACTTAAAAATGGGAGGGGCAAATAATTTTGGGGTTGCAAGAAACCAAACTCGAGACCTCAAACTCTTCAAACACACACCTTACCAACTGAACTATCGAGGAACACATTAAGCATCTTCTGTTTTTTGCTGATATACTCATCACAGCTCAACATCTTATTAAAAAAAAATGGGATTTTAGGGGTGCTAGGAATCGAAACCTAGTCCCCTGTTTCTAAATTCCAACGCCTTTCCATCTCATCCACCTTGCAAGATATTTTTTGTCAACCAGAACGACGAAATCGTTTGACGGCAGATGACTTCATGTAGTATCGTAACAATTAAATAAACAGTAAAGAAAGTAATACAACCATCATATATATAATTTAAAAATTTACATTGTTGAAAGGTACTTATTTCAAAACATATTACAATATGATGTGAAAATGAAACTAAACTGATGTCACAACGTCCCTTCTTCAAAAGTTGTTTGTTTTCCTGTTTTACTGAATTCTTGAGAAATAAAAGTAGTTTTTAAAGAGCATATCAGCATTTAATTTGGTGAGTTTATAAGTATTTAATAACAATGTTTGTATTAAATAGAATGAAATGATTTGTATATGTTTGAATGTTACTAGAAAATCCCATATTTTCTACTATAGTAGAAGGTAGTTTAATTGTTCCAAAACTTGTAATGCAGTAGTGCTTTTCATGCCTAATATAATAGGTTTATGCATAAATCGCTAATTCATTTGAAGAACCCTGTAAATGAATGTGTTTTTAATACTCCATGTGAGTCTTATAACCATGCTATTTGACTAGGATGAATATAGCAACGTTCTTCAAGCGTTGGAAAGTTATGATGTTTGTCACCCCAGGCCTGCTGGCCTAGCTGTAGCTAACAACTTAGGTGTAGGATTGTCAATCCCGTATAGATCTATACACAAGTATAACGCTCCCCCTACAACGGATTTTGGTATAAAATACAGTACTTAAAATGTGTACTCGTAAGTACATGAAATATCTCACAAAACTTAGTATAAAATAGATTTACGTACGAAAACGTTCATTTGTTCTTGTGTATGAAAATATCTCTTTGATATAGTGTTTCTAGTATGTAAATGCTCATGATTTTCTCGTAAACTATACCTATTATAGTATTTTCAAAGTGTGTGTTTCGTTCGTATAGTAAACCCTAGTGTAATGCTCACTTGTTATGTAAAGTATAATAGTTATAGTGGCATAAGTGATCACATATACTTAAAGTATAAATAAAATGTTTCATTCCTGTATATATATAAACATGTTTTATTCCCAAAAGACAAGATGTTATTGAGAATATATATCGCATACGAAAGTTCTCATGTAGTAGTTATGAATCACATATGACTTACTTGATAAAAAGAGTATATAGTGAAACTTTCTGTTACACACGATAATAACCATGTGTTTACTTATATTCCCCCCCCACCCCACTAAAAGTGTATAAAAATTATTGATAAAACATTTGAAAGTGTAGTTTATAGGGGTATGAACTCACCTGATAGATTGAAGAAGGTGAGACGAAAACCGAACAAAACTTTGATTCGAGAAAGCAGATTTTCTCGGGATTCTTAGGAATCTCGGGAGCGCAAACTTCCTTCGGGGCTTGGGTATGAAAACCAGGGCCCCAGGATATTTCTTGCAAAAAAAAACGGACTAAAAACGAAAGAGAAAGAGAAGAATTAGGCAATTTTACTCGTAACCCTCACATCCCTTTTATAGGGGGCTGAAGACCCTCGGTACGCTGGGCGTACGAGGTTACGCGAGGCGTACGGGTACGTCATGCATGACCGCATCCTCATCTATCGGAGCTCGGATGGGACGGGACGTAGAGGCGTAGAGGGGCGACGTGGATGTTCCGAGTACGCTGGGCGTAACTCGGATCGGTCCGGTGACTCCTCCTTCGGATAATATCGTATTTTGAATTAAATTTATATTTTAATTATTTAGTAAATTTCAAAAATTCATATCTTTTTCATACGAACTCCGTTTTTGACGTTCTTTATATCCATGCATAGGTGAGACTACGCTCTACAACTTTTTCTTAGACCCCGTCGGCAAATTTTGAAATTATTTTTATTATTTATTTTTAAAAGGCCGTGGCAGGAAAAGTCCGTTAAAATTCCATAACTTCTTTATCCAATGTATGTTTTCGCCAGACTCTTTACCGCTGAAATACCATTGTCGAGACCTTCGATTCTCATTTAGGTCGTTCCGGCTAAAAGTCACTCGATCTCTGTTTCGAGTTTTTAGCTGTCTACCGCTATTCAGAACATGGAAAATTTATAACTTCCTCATACGAGGTCAGATTTGGGCGTTTTTTTATGTTTGTTCATTGTTTAATGATAACTACGACCTTCATTTTAATACCTAAGGCTAATAAGTATTTTATTGAAATTTCTCCTTTTACTTTTAAACCATAATGACAGTTTTTGTTGTGAATCTTAGGTTGGTCATAACTTCTTCGTTATGACTCGGTTTTCAGTGTTCTTTATATTTCTAAAAATCTTGACATGATAACTATCATTTTTTGCAATCCAATAGAGACTTTTGAACATTTTATTTTCGATGCTAATTTCATTATTTCAAAGGTGGTTATAATACCCGACTTTTTAGGTGATTACATAAAGTCGAAATATCGGGTTGTCACATCATCCCCCTGTTAGAGGGAATTTCGTCCCGAAATTTAATGTAAGAAAAACACTTGTGGATTAGGGAAAAAGATGTGGGTACTTGTGTTTCATCTGATCTTCGCGTTCCCAGGTGTATTCAGGTCCTCGCTTTGAATTCTAGCAGACCTTCATGATGGGTATGCGACTTTGTTTTGTTCTTTTAATTTCCCTATCCATGATTTCAATTGGTTCTTCTATAAAGTGGAGACTCTCGTAGAGTTCAATTTCGTCTAGAGGGACGACGGGGGCCTCATCGGACAAACATTTCATCAAGTTTGACACATGAAAGGTAGGATGTACGTTATTAAGTTCCTGCGGTAGTCGAAGTTTGTATGCTACCGGACCAACTTGCAAGGATCTCGAATAGTCCAACTTGCAAGGATCTCGAATAGTCCGATATACCTTGAGTTTAGTTTCCAACATTTTTAAGAAATGTATTAACCCATTCCAGGGTGAGACCTTTAATAGCACTCGGTCCCCAACCTGAAATTCTAAGGGATTCCATCTTTTGTCTGCATAACTCTTTTGTCTATCTCTTGAAGCTTTTAGTTGTTCCCGAATTTGTATAATCTTCTCGGTTGTTTCTCTTATGATTTTCGGGCCATTGAGAGTGTCGTCAGGTACTTGTGTAACACCCGTTTATTTATTAAATAGACAAATAAATAAATGAAAGACTCGTAGCCCTAGAATAAATAATTATGTATAAAACGATGGTCTCGAAGAGCTAATCGTCACAATTTTAGAAGTCGAGGGTTAAAAGAGTAAGTTCCGGACCCAAATCGTAAGTACTAATGAGGGTGTGGACTAAATATTAACTTTTGGGACTTCATTTGAAAGGATTTTAGAGGATTAGGGGTGTTATTTCGTAAGGAATCATGGAAGGGAGGGCTAAAATGTAAGTTTTGGATTTCTTTTGAAAGAGAATTGAAAGGCAAGGTTTAAAAGGTAAATATGGGATTTATATTGTAATGATTTCTAGATGGAGGGGATAAACTTGGAATTATGAAAAGAAGATATGGCGATCGAGGTATATAAACCCGTCACCCCCGGCAACCCTAACCCTAGCCTCATTTGTACAGCCGCCAACTTCCTCTACACTCTCCTTCACCCTTATCGGCGTCGCACCACCCATCTCCGCTAATTCTGATCGCCACCGTCACCATAGAAGCCTCTCAACAGCCGAGGGCATCACCAAGCTCGATAGTTCTCATCTTCGCCTACCGCTTCATCGACGAAGGCCACTATTCTACAACCTGATGCCGTCAGTTACGTCGTGTGTGGCCGGAGATGGCCTGTAACCGCTGCCCGTTTTGGAACTCGTCTTGATGCCACCGTTCTTTTCTTTTCCCTTTCGCTCCATCTGCCGCCAAGGGCATGCTTTTGTTGCTCCGGTCATGGTCGCCACCCCAAAGGGCTGTCGAGTTTGTGTGGGTTATCACCTGTCGAGCTGGGGTGCGTTTCCTTGCGTCCCTGCTTGCTGTTGTCCAGAAAAGTGTGGGAACCACCATGGCAGCCGCCATGGCGGCTATCACCTTGCTACTGTCGCCTTATGCCACAAAGAGGGTGGTTGGCTTCCTTCTCCGAGTAAAGGAATGCAGAACTGCATGTTTCAGTCGATGTGTGTGCGGGTGTATGGCTGGAGTCCTTGGAAAAGGCATTACCACCACCATAGGGTGGTGGCTGCCACCATCTGCCGCTACCGGCCACCACAAGGTGGCTGTGTGTGTGTATTTGTTTAGTGTGTTATTTTGATATTTAGCATTGTATTTTGTAAATCACAACTTGGAATAATAACAGAAATTGAAAATCACCACCATCAGGTGGTGGTTGCCGCCTCCTACCGCCATGTCGGGTAGCGGTGTGCTTGTCTTGTGAGTTGACTCGATTGGGGATGCTAGAAAGCCTAATGGGCTCAAAGGAGCTCTAATTGGCCCAATGAAGCTTAATGGACTCCAATGGATCCAATTAAAGCCATATGGGCTTAATAAGATTTTAGTGGGCTTATTAGGCCCAATAAAGCCCTAATTGTCATAAAAGGCCAACAAACTGATAAATGGGCTAACATTTGGATTGGAACACCATAATGCCAATAAAACCCTAATTTGTGGAAATTGCTTGGGACATAGACGAGAATTAATTATTAAATCTTAAATAATAATTAATAGTCATTGGCAAACTAGCGTATGACATAATGGACTTAATGGATTAAGTCCTTAATGGGTTAAGAAAGAAACTCTAAACCTTAATCATCATTTCATGTGAAAACTCTAATTTGGGATTATGGGATTGGACTTATCGAGACCCACATTTGGGCCATTGGAATGGAATTTTGTGATTAAGCCCAATCAAACCATATGACTTATTTAGAAGAATGATGGACTTAATGGATTAAGTCCTTAGAGGAATAATTCCTTAATGGGTTAAGTAGGAAACTTTACCCTAATGGGCATTTTCTGTGAAACCCTAACTTCACTTGGGTTTATTGTTGGGCCTTTATATTGGGCCTTAATGATTGGATTATTAATGAGGCGTCCTACAATAATTATATGGGCTAAAATAATTTAATGGGCCTAGGGTAAGTCCCATGTAAGGGGTTGGGCCCAATTTGGAAAATTGGTCCATAGATTGACCATAGTTGGGCCTTAATGATTGTATTATGTTGGGCCATAAGACCACATATAGGCCTGGGTCCAATTTGGAAAATTGGGTCATATGTTGGGCTTTGATTCCTAGTTCGCTTTGGGCCTATGGTTTGGGCCTTGGGGCTTGAATAAAGCCATTCTTAGGGTAATGTAGTAATTATCCAAGTCTGTATTTATGGTTATGGTGTTGGGACCAAATTATTAATTGGGTGTTATTTTGGTGTTGACAGTTCGCGAATCTGTCATCCAGCAACTGGGGTTGAGTCTGCGAGACTTCAGCAGTGTGGGGTTGTGTCTACGGGACTTCAGCAGTATGAGGTGAGTTACCTTCCAGTAGGAGATGTATGATAGATGACTGTCTTTGTGATATCATCTAGGTTTGCTACTACCTGATATGTTATACACTAGCATGATATGTTGTATGTGATAGTAGTAGAGTTTGGTTGTTAGGACTGAAGGGTAGTTAGACACCCCGGGTACGTCTGACAGTATGTGATGATATGTATGCATGCTAGCTTGTTATGTTATATGCGATAGAGGTAGTAGGAGGGGATCAGTCCCCGAGTTCAGTTGTTAGGACCGAAGGGTATCTCAAGCACCCCAGATATGTCTGATAATGTGTTTATGTTATGTTATATGTGATAGTAGTAGTAGGGGGTGAAATAGTCCCTGAGGTTCGGTTGTTAGGACCGAAGGGTATTCAGCATCCCATAATGGCTCGACATGGGTAGGTCAGCGCCCTAGAATGGCTAGACACGGGAAGGATGGCACCCCAGAATGTCCGCATGGGTAGGTCGGCACCCTAGAATGGTGGGCACCCCAGAAATGCCTGGCAGTATGTATGTGATATGATTGTATGGTGTGTGGTATGATGGGGGAACTCACTTAGCTTCGTGCTTTTAGTTTTTAGTTTTGGTTTCAAGTACTTCGTGTCTAATGGAAAGGAGTCGGCTTTATCGCAGCGCATCACACTATGGTTTTCCGCACGTAAGATCTTTGGGATTACACTCTGATATTGTTTTATGATAACATGTTTAATTATTTTTACTTTGGTTTTGACATGACATGACATTACAAATGTTTTATTACACTGTTGGTTTTATAATGACGTATTTAAAAGTGAAATTTTTGGCCTGTATTTTTGGGATGTTACAAGTTGGTATCAGAGCCTCGGTTTGAGGGATTCGGATATGCTCTCGGTTGTGTCTGAACTCAAACTAAGGGCTTGGTATGAAAATTTTCAAAAGTAAAACCATTTTATAAAAAGGAGTTTGAAAAGAATCCGAAAAGAGAAAGGAACTTTGAGAAGAACAAAGTGTGTGATGCGTGCAATCAGTCGAGCTCAAGTAAGTTTTCCCAAGATACCCATACATGTTATGTTATGGTATGATATGATATGATTATGAGAATTGCATGCTAGATTAGGACTAAGGATTTAGGAGGATGCCTTATAGGCCTATTGTATGTGCTTGTAGACTTGCATGCTAGTACTGATCAGTCAGTGATACGACAACCAGTTTAGGGTATGCCTGATTGTATGAGCCTTTGAATTGTATATACAAATTCCTAATTAGATGATAGAATGATTTGATTGGGATATGATGGTTAGATTTTCCATTGTATGAATTCTGCTTGCTCTGTGCTTTGTGGGACTTTTAGTAATGTAAGCGAACTATTAAGTGAATATGCTAGGTCACATGGGACACAGACTGAATAATCTCAAAGTGAGAGACTTGACCCTATTGTGCAGCTCTTGCCTGAGTCCAACCGTTCTAGGGATGGGTTTTTACTTGAAGGGTTATCTGATCTCTGTTGCATGTGGCTATATTCATGAGGTAGCTAGTTGACATTACAGGGAATCTTTCAGCAGCTGAGGACTGGGTGAGTTCAGGAACCTAGGAAATCCTTGGATATGTTTCAGTGAGGTAATAATGAGGCTCAGTTAGACTTGGGTGTACCAGTTGAGGAAGTGACTTGGAGGATTCAGGAGGATTGCTGAGGAAAGTATGAATAAGTTTGGAAGGTAGTATTGGGCCCGTACTACTGAAAGCACAAGATCCATACTCGAATCAGTGAGAGTCTTGGAGAATCTAAGAAACTTTAGGAAAGAGTTTGTGACCCAATTTGGGGACAGAGGATGTTCCAGTTGCTGCAACTTAGCCATTGGCAAGTGAGTTAGTAAGCATGGCAGGGTGTCAGACCCTGAGGGTTATGATTTCCATGAAGTTGAAGATGCGAGATTGATTTGGATCACTTTGAGAAGAGAGGTTTGTGCTAGGTGCTTATAATAATGGTCGCGGGAAGAGACCCATGCTTCCTGATCATCAGGTGAAAGGCCAACAGGGTCGGAGTCAGTGCAACACGTACAGGACAGTGCACAAGGGAATTTGTTGCTCCGATGGTTTAGGCTACTTCAGGGTAGCAGGGTTGCTCATGTCAGTCGCAGGTGATTAGTATTCCTCCAGATGTTGCGGGTATGTCATCTTCTATTGCTACTAGATGGATGTTGGGGATGCGTACCGCTTTGGAATTGCTAGTGAGTTTGGATAAGTCAGACCTCGGGTCAGTTTTCTGTGAGTGTTTGGGTTATCAAGGATCATATATGCCATCTTGCATGCCGAAGGTCCTTGATGAACCCACAGAGGGACCCGTTATCATTTCGGATCTTTGTCAAGATCGGTGTAGGAGTATTATTTAGAGGATACTCGATCAGGGTTGGAGTGATTGTTCTCCAATGAAGTCAGCATTCAGAGGTTCTATCATTGTTGAGGTATGTTCAGTAATTGTTTATGGATGAAATTTGGAGTTCAAGGCACTACCGTTGCTAGGACAGAACTGGTGATAGGAAGAGGGTAGTGTCAATCGTGGGTGTTAGATGGATAAGTGGTTGGTCATTGGATGAGCAAGAGAATTATATTTTCGCATGCGCTGTGTTCGGTTAGAGTTCAGTGGTACTACAAGATTGGAAATGAGAACGAGGATTCGTCAGCTAGAGTGAAGATTAAGGTCTTCAGTGAACAACATGGGAGATGGTCTCAGGTTCCAAACTACCAGATTCAAGAGTACTCTTGAAGGTTTCAGAGGATGGGCGATCATAAGGTTTGACTGGTAATTGATCGTTAGCGTTGGTAAGCTCAGATTGTCGGTAGTGGACTAATAAGAAGTAAGAAGGATTAGGGATCCTTCAATTCTCACATACCGTGAAGACATAGTTGAATCTAAGTGGGGGAGAGACTTTTTATAAAATTCTCCAAATGTGAGTTATGGTTGCACGGGGTGCAATCTCTTGGGCACCTTGTCATCCAGAAGGGTATTCTAGCTAATTCGGCCAAGATAGAGGCCGTGATGCAGTGGGAGGTTCTGAGGTCACCATCTGAGATTCGGAATTCCCTTGGTCTAGCAGGATATTACCGGAGGTTTATGCGGGACTTCTTCGAGATTGAAGTTTCCTTTAACCCGAGTGACCAGGAAGTCGGTGACCTTTCGTTGGGGGATTGAGCAACTGGCAGCCTTCAATACTCTCAGACAGCGGTTGAGAGAGGCACCGATTCTCACCCTACCAGAGGGTGTAGATGATTTTGTGGTATACCGTGACGCTTTGATCATGGGCATGGGTATAGTATCGATACATTGGGGCCACGTGATAGCAGTTTTCGGGAACTAGGATAGAGTTCCGGTTAGGATTCAAGCTCAGTTGTGTGTTAAGTCGAGTGCGTGTTCAACCGGTATGGAAAGTGTTGTAAGACTACGGGGGTATCTGTAGCATTCACTAGCAGTCATATAGTATGGATAGTTTTGTAAGACTACGGGGGTATCCAGAGCATTCACTAGTAGTCAGGTAGTATGGAAAGTGTTGTAAGACTACGGGGGTAGCCGTAGCAGTCACTAGCAGTCAGGTAGTATGGAAAGTGTTGTAAGACTACGGGGGTAGCCGTATCATTCACTAGCGATCAGATAGTTTGGAAAGTGTTGTAAGAATAAGGGGGTAGCCGTAGCATTCACTAGTAGCCAAATGGCGATAGAGTGTTGTGAGTCTGCGGGTGTAGCAGTAGCATTCACTAGGTTGGTAGATAGCATGAGTGTGTTGTGAGGACGCGAAAGGAACAGTAGTATCCACCCGTTCTGGTGTACCAGTGAGAATATGAAAACCCACTGATTGGATTTTGGATTTACCGAAATAGATTAGATCTGGTTAAGCCAGTAATGAGACTGTAGGGACGTCACTACAGTTAT